TGACTCAATCTCGTGGCTCCTATCAATGAACCAGAGTCAGGCATTACACATAATTGGGATCCAATGAGTTGTTGATGCATCAATTGAGTACAAAATATTGCAGTGAGAATCAAAGACCAACACGGAAATTCTACCATTTCCTGAAGCAATCAAGTGATTACTTAGGTCATAATTATGCATCTGTTGTAATCCCTGTGCAGGCAATCTTTGTATCTGATGCCACAAAAAGGAATCTACCACTCCCCACCTCTCTCCTCATTTGAGATTTTCTTCTTCCTTTCCTGGCCTATTACTCTTCTCTTAACTAATCTTTCTCTTTTTTCATGTTTTCTCATCTTCCTATACCTGAGACCCAACAATGATACTCATTCATACCATAAGCATTGCTGAAATGAATTTTCCAGATCATTGAAGTTTACTCCTTTAAAAGCTAAAATGTCTTTTAAAATTACTTTATCCATTTTAGTTAGGAGTTTTTAAAATGTGCCATTTTTTCCCTTTACTTCTTAACAGAGTATATACCATACAACTTGAAACTTTCTTGACCATGCAGTTTTATCGATCTAAACATCCCCTCAGGCACTTCTGAGAAGTCTAGAACTCCCTTCCCTATACTACACGGCCTCAGATTACTGAATATTACTGCTTCATTTCCTATCCCACTTTTACAGTTTTATATTTCTTCTGTTAGGAAGAGCTCTTACTTTTCGTTGTTGTCATTATGTCTGACTTTTGCCTCTTCCCCTTCCACTCCCTCATCTGCTGTGAGGTGGGCAGCCAGACAGGCAAACTTGTGTGAACCTTATGTGAGAGAAAGTTTTGCTGGTACATGTTTACTGGTCTTTGAGTAGGGGCTTAAGGCCTGTCCTGTGAGTAAAGTTCATTGGATTTGTGAGAACTGTTTCTAGAGCTCAGAGACCCTTAATTCTGGGGTTGGGACCATATGAGAGATAAGTGTAGATAAGTAAAGTTTGACATCTGGAGAGGGGGAGTATCACTGTCATTTGTATTAACATAGAAACACTGTTTCCGTGTTTGTATTCACGGTTTTTAGGGCACACTGAATTTGTCAATCTATCATCATTCTGCATTTAAACTGTAAACAAAAAATGAGACAGAGAAAGGCAAAATGCTTACTTTTGCAAGTTAGAGATCATATGCCTGGAGCTTCCTCAGACATCTCTGTGTAATGTCTTTATATTTCGCTGCCTTTAACTTAGGACACTCATTTGCCATAAGTGAAGTGACCCAGCACCATCATCCCAAGCTCACCATGTCATTCTCCTTTCTCAGACACTATTAACTTAACTACACCATATTTTCAGTGTTCTTTTTTGTCATTTTCTTTTTTAATAAGCTTAAGTAATGTCTTTATTCAGTTGTCACAAATTCCTCTAAAATAATAATATAGTTTCGGGGCTTTTTGCTGTACCACTATTGAAAATACTAATAAATGATATTGTTAATCAGATTTTTTCCCTCACTGCTTTATCATAGTTGCTATTTTCTTCTTTTTTTAAAATAAATGTTATTGTGTATATGTAAGGTATACAGCATGATATTATGAGATACACATAGATAGTAAAAAGGTTACTACAGTGAAGCAAATTAACATCATCTCACATAGTTACCCATTTTTTGTTTTTATGGCAAGAGCAAATAAAATACACTCATTTAGCACGAATCCCATATACAGTACAATTTTACTACCTTACGTTGTACATTGGAATTCTTTCAGTTCTTACAGTAGAACTTTGCTGTCATCTGTGGCTCGTCCTTCAGTTTTCCCTCTCAAACTAGGCAATTTCGAGATTCTAGTGTATGTGGTTCATTCCACATCTAAGATGTATTTTACCTTCTTCTCACTCAAGCCGGCCAAAATTCTAATTCATAGCTCTTGCATACTTCTATTTTCCAAACATTCCTCTCACCTCCCTCTACCCAAATCCATCCCAAATTTAACAGTGCCCTACTCTTTCATGGCTGGGCTTGCAACCTCCACTTCCTGAACACTGTCATTGGTTAGCTCTCAAAATATTTCTTGCTTCCATTTGAATGCTATATTTTCACCTTTAGTTCCTTTTATAGTACTTCCTGCCACCCACCTCCTCCTGTTCAATCGTTACATTAGCACCTTCCAGCTTTATATGCTCCATGTAGTTCTGCAGACGGAATTAAAGAAACACGTCAGAATTCTCTTCTCTCATCTGTCTACTCCAGAGTCCTATCCCTGATCACTCTTTAATATCTTCAACTACCTCTCGAGAAATTTTCTAAATGCTGTGGAATTTTTTTTTTTTTTTTAAAGATGACCGGTAAGGGGATCTCAACCCTTGGCTTGGTGTTGTCAGCACCACGCTCAGCCAGTGAGCCAACCGGCCATCCCTATATAGGATCCGAACCCGCGGCCTTGGTGTTATCAGCACCGCACTCTACCTAGTGAGCCACAGGCTGGCCCATAAATGCTGTGGAATTTAGTGACTACTTTCTCAACTTAATTTAGTCAACTATTTTTCCTTTTATGTATTTCCCAAAGCCTTTAGGGAAAGAATTACCGGCTTTTTTGTTGTTCTCTACCTCCCCCTGCCCCTCTCCTCTTTCCTCAAATTGAAATTGTCAATAGCAGGACTGAACTTCAGAACATTTGGTAAGGAGCTATATACTGAGTTAAACAAATCCCATTCTCCAAATTGCACAATTCCTTGGCTTCCTCTCACTGGTCCATCCTTCCACCTCTCCCAGAGCTTTCCAATTTGGCCAACAGAATCCCCATTTCATGGTAAATAAACTCCATTCTGCCTTCAACTCGTTCAGAAAGACTTCTCTCCATAAATCCAGGCCTCCCTTAAGGGCGCTGCTGGACTCCTGACTCCTGCAGCCCTCTCAAAGGAAAGGACCCATTCCTCCCCAGGACGTATACCTCAGGGTCAGGAGCAAGGGAAGGTCAGCTTGCTCCTCAGAGCCACTAACAGACCCTCCTTTCAGGCCCATGACCTCTAACTCGACTTCCTGACCCTGCTCCTCATCTATCAGTCTATGTGGCCAACCCATTCACATACCTGCTTCCTGGGTCCTTGCCCTCCTCACCTCTAATATTCCCTTTCACTCAGTTCAGCCACCCATGTTTTGGACTCCACTTCAGACTCTCTCATCCCCTACGACTATTCTCTTTACAGCTTCCTGAGACCCTAGTCCCAGTCAGCCCGCTCCCTGACCCTACAGTGCATTCCGATCCTTCAGTACTCCCACTTCTCCCAGTTGATTGGCCCATCTTGGCCTCTCTTCCTTCCCTACCCTGGTTGATATCCAGAATTGCTCTTTTACCAGCACCCTTAGCTCCCTATCAGCAAACCTTTGCCTGGACTTCCTATATCAACCTACTACCTGGGCAGCCTCAGACTTCCTCTGACACCACTCCCTAGCTATCACACTTTGTATCTTTGCTTAGACCTCCTGCAGTCTCAACTGACTTTCCTCCTACGTGCCAGCTCTGTTCACCCACTTCTGGTTTGGCCTACCCCATTCCCTTCCAAGCTTCCATTCTGAATTAATGAAATGAAAACCTTGTAGTTCTCTTATAATTTATTACTTGATAAAATGTTTTTGGACAGTTATGTTATTTCATCTACAAGACAACCTCTTATGGGGTGGAAGTTCAAGGTAATATTGCAGATGAGAAAAAATTGAGGTTCATGGAGGTGATGTGGCTCACTCAAGCACTCACAGTCTCAAAGAATGTAACTGATTGGTTATCATAATAATGAGAATATATTTTCTTTCAGCCCACATGAGATACCTATGCTATGCCCAATTATTCGACATGCTAGTCTCAGGTATAGGTATCCTTGTGGGGATGACAGGGATGGGTAGACAATAAACACATTAATCAAAAAGAGACATTCAGATGACCAGTATAAAGTGATACCACTGTGAAGGAAGAGACCTCGGAATCAGTTTTCTATATGCAGTCAGTCATCCCAGAAGCAAACATTAAGGTTGCAACTCTCAGCTCACAGAGAGAAATAAATCCAATCAAAGAGATGCAGAGAAACTCCATGCCAGCCAAGCTGCTTTGTGCCCTCTGTGCTGGCTCTCACAACCACAATGCAATAAATAAAGAGGAATCACACAGCACTGGAAAAGCAACTGAGCCCAGAGATGGTGAATCAGGGTAGAGAAGAGAACAATTTGGAACTTACTACTGGAAACTCCTTTCATGCATAATTATTGTGCATTGGAAGAGAAGACTGGTATATGACATGCTCATTTCTGAATAACAGACTGCTTGCCTCCCCATCCCGCACCATCTAGACATTTATGATGCAATAAAGGTGATAAATTCAATCAGGTACAAATCATAATGATATACTGATATACAGATAACAATAATGTTGAACAAAGACCTAAGTTAACTTTTCAAAAAATTTTTATCAGATGTGTGTAAAAAAAAAATCAAGTAGAATTGTGGTTACTAGAGGCTGGAAAGGATGGGGGGAGGGAGGATAAGGAGAGGTTGGTTAATAGATATAAACTTACAGCTAGATAGGAAAAATAAGTTCTAGTGTTCTATAGTAGTGCTAGGTATCTATAATTAACAATAATTTACTGTATATTCTCAAATGCCTAGAAAAGAGGAATTCAAATGTTCTCAACACAAAGAAATGATAAATGTTCGTGGTAATGATATGTTAATTACCCCGATTTGATCATCACACACTGTATATATGTATTGAAATATCACTCTGTACCCCATAAATATGTACAAATATTACATGTCACTTAAAAAAAATAAATCATTGAAAAAAATCAAAATATTTTGTCGATTAAAAAAAATCATTGAAAAAAACCAAAAGATTTTATGCCTCTACAAATCTTTGAGCTTCTTAGATAAAAACTATTACAACATACCTATCTCTAATAAAACTAATATTGTTACGTGCCCTAGTAGAACTGCCCTTCCCAACCAAAAATGCAAAATATTTAGCAAAATAATCATTTACCTTATAGAAGATCAAAAAAAGATCATCCAGTTTCCCATGCAAATCACCTGGAGTGCAAATGAAAAATCACTATTCAGTAAGAAACAAGATGTGATGCCCATTCTGTTACAGAATTTTAAAACTGAAATACTGCTGATATACTCCAAGTGTTCCCAGGGCATTGGGTTTTTACCCTATGATGATGCTAATTTGACAGGAGTTTCATTTCCACAGCACTCTTTTCTTCCTCTCCTATAGGAGGAAATAGCATCTGGTACTGCAATCACCTGTTGGCTCCAGCCATTTACACAGGGCTTTGCTTACTCTGGGCCAAGCACTGTGCTAATGGTTTTACATAAATTGTCTGGTTCAATCCTTACAACTGCTGTGAGATGAGTATTATTGTCATCATTCTCATTTTACAAAAGAGGCTCAGAGTAGTTAAGTAACTTATGCAAAGCTACCCAGCCACCAAGCATCAGAGTTGGAATTCAAACCCAACTTTATCTTACTTCAAAACTCAAGCTCTTAGCAATTACCGTGGACTGCCTACTGTAATGCCTAGGAGAGCAGCAACAATATCTTAGTCAGTATTAAATCCCCAAGTGCCTACCACAGAATCCTGGAGCATAGTAGGCACTCAATAAATACATTTAATCGCTAAATGCATAGTGCGTCAAAGCCATGTTTTAAAGAATATGCTCTAGCAGTAGCATCTGAAACCTAAAAAGTAAATAGTTAACATTCTTTGATGAGACTGTTACGTAGGAAATAAAAATCAGAGCTAACTAAGGGAAACCATATGACTATATGAAGCAATTAATGAAAAAATAAGTGACTATATGAATATCCCAAAGCCCTATTTGGGTAACCATTTCTAGGTAAAATATCTGTCTTTCACAAGCTCATCTTAAAAATTTTTATTCTTTGTAACCAACTTAATTACCATAGAATTTAATTTAGAAATACTTTTCCTCAGTTTGTTTAAAATCCCACAACCAAGATTAACCAAATATATGCTAAAAAAGACTCCAATAATGCTGAGAATAATAAAATTAAAACCTTATATCACCAGCATTTATTTATAAAATATGAGTCTTCAAAAAATTCTTGGAAAAATTTGTACTGTCTTTTAATTCTAATTTTCCATGAACTTTTTGAAATACCCTCATATGACTATAACATTGAGATTTAGAGCATATTAATGCTATTGTATGCTTAAATCTCATTGCTTTCATATGTTATCACTCCAAATCCAAGAAAATAAAGATGGAAGGACTTTTTACTTATCAGTTTAATATATATTTTTAATTAATTTATTTTGCTAATTTTCTTCAGGATGACTATTTCAAAGATTTGGGTATACAGGACTGTCATAGCTAGCATGTTTAAAATCAAACTTGGTTTAGCATATTAAGAGTTGAGGCTATAAAAATATTTTAAATTTCTAGTTGAGCAGTAAAAGAAAAATTGGTATCATGAGAAGAGAAACACAGAAAGGTATTTCCACTGCAAACAAAAACATGAGTGCAGAATTGGTTATCACAATTACTCTCCTGTCTTAATACTGTCTCAAATAGAAGATAATTTTGAAAATACGGCCCCAACTTTAAATTTTATTTTAAATGATGACCAAATTTTTCAAAGTTCTGTCTTTAATGGGCTATTAAAGATAGAAAATAATAATTCCTATGTTAAGAGAACCTACTGACCTTGGCTTTTCCCTCTACCAATGCTGCTATGTGGAAGAAGTCTGTAAATAAATGCCCAAGATGTGGGGATCTTAAAATGAATGGAACTGTCCAATCTATCCATTCCCTAGTCTTTGTTTCTCGTGATGAAAAATGAAACATCAGCCAGACAAGAATGAGTTGGAATAGCAGATGTGGGGATGCTTCTAACCTGTAGTACGGAAAACCTGATTTTTTTTTTTCCTTTTTGTCTTTTTTCGTGACTGGCAACGGATCGCAACCCTCAGTGTCGCGCCCGCACCAGACCGGGACCGGCAACGGGATCACAACCCTAGGTGTTGCCCCCGCTCCTCGCTCAGCCAGTGAGCGGCTGGTCTGCACGTGGGATCCGAACCCTCAGCGGGAGCGCCACCGCGCTTCCCAAGCGGCGCACTATAGCAGTGCGCCACCGGGCCGGCCCGGAAAACCTGATTTTTGATTCTGACCCTGCCACTAACTAGCTGAGTGGGCAGGAAAGTTACTACATAGAAATGCATGGAAGGCAACACACTTTTCTCTCTGGGCCTCAGTTTCACCCATAAGAGCAAGTGATAGATTAGACCATCTTTTAAGAACCCTTCAGTTCTTGCACTATGGGATTCTAGGATTTCCATACGCTCTGATTAATTCATGTCTTCTTCCAGATCCTTTTAGCCAAAGATAAGTCTGCAATGGCAACTGGAGGTATACTGGAAACACGTGGGAGCAGATCCCACTCTCTGTTTTGGCTATTATATACAGTAGTCCCACCCTTATCCATGGTTTTGTTTTCTGCAATTTCAGTTACCTGTGGTCAACTGTGGTCTGAAAATATTAAATGGAAAATTTCAGAAATAAACAATTCATAAATTTTAAATTGAAGACCGTTCTGAGTAGCATGATGAAATCTCGCACCATTCCTCTCTGTCCCTTCTTCATCACAGAAGGGTGAGTACAGTACAAGATATTTTGAGGGAGAGGAACACGTTCACATAACTTTTATACAGTATATTGTTATAGTTGTTCTACCTTATTATTAGTTATTGTTGTTAATCTCTGTGTCTAATTTATAAATTAAACTTTATCACAGGTATGTATAAGTATGTATAGGAAAAAACAGTATATATAGGGTTCAGTACTATCTGTGGTTTCAGGCATCCACTAGGGATCTTGGAACGTATCCCTCATGGATAAGGGGGGGCTACTGTATATGCTGATAGCAAACCTAACCCTGGCTTCATAGGCTTCACAGGTTGGCATGGCTTCCTGAGCCTCATGACCCAAAGCTCTTTATTTCCATGAAAAGTAAGGCCTGAAGAGGCCTTGAATAAAAGGCCCCCACTGCTGAGAGACTCTTCAAAAACCTGCGTCAGGGCATGTCATGAGGTATGTACTGCTACATCAAGTCCCTGTCACCACTATCAGATGCTAGAAATGGAAATGGTTTAATTAGATTGTCAAATCCACTTCTACCTGCCAGAGTAAGAGAAACACAGGCTAAAAATTGATTTGGAAAATAACAATCACTATTTTGTAACCTAAAGGCTTAATTAGAAGTTAAGGAAATTGCTGTTCCTTCCACACACCCCACTCTCAGACAGTTGCAAGCATGCTGAGCACCAACTGTGATGAATTTCAATGTGTACTGTTTTTTGAAGCAATATCCTGCCAGGTTGGCCTATATGATAACAAAATCTCAAATCTTGTTATTTAGAAGAACAAGAAACAGATTTCTGGGACATTCCTACTCTATTAAAAGCTGCAGAAACCAGTTGGAAAAATCTAAAACAGCAGCCAAGAGGAGAGATGAGTTTAATCTCTACCCTGCCTTGGGCTTTTCTCTTCCCAGCATAAGTGGCATGCAGAGGCCCACCTAGAAAAAGTGACATGGAACAAAGATAATGAGAGCTAGACAGAGGGAAAAGAATGCTTATTCCACCCATGGGTGGTTTTCCATATTAAAATGCTTTCTGCCTTTATAAAAAGCTATGAGTTCTTTAATTTCTCACATAATTAATTCCTGCCAGCTGGTACGCAAAACAAAGACAAGATGGGGAACAGTATTAGCATGATAGATAACTCTATATTAACATTTTTCCCTTAACACAGTCCAATTTACATAGTTTTCAAGTTAGGCAAATGATGTAGGACCAAGAGGCTCTTAAACATTAATTTGACAACTTGCTCTGAAACTTACCACAGATTGTTATCCCTTTGGAAGGAGAAGTCTTTATGTGAGTGAAATTCGGCATTTGCTTCAGGACTTTCTGAGTTTCAAATAGCACCTCTAAGACATAATGAGCATGAAGTATCTGTGGGGGGAGGCAGAGGAAACAGGTATAATGAACTAGGAAGAAAGACATGACTATATAGAAAACTATAAAGGTGGAGAAGATGAGCACATTTCAGATCACTGTATTTCAGGATAATCTCTACATTATTCTCAGATTATTCCAGTACAGTGCCTGGCATATAATAAACCTTCAGTTGATATTTGTAGTTGAATGAATAAATGGTTCCTAAGACATTTATAATCTCATGTTCTTAACTGACACCATCCATTTGCAGAACATTTCTGATTATTCTTGGTCCTCAGAGCCCAAGAGAAGTGACAGGATAAAAGGGGACTCCCTTGCCCTAAGGAAATGTTCAGACAAAATAATAATAATAATAAAGAAGGAGAAAAAGAGAGTGAATGTGAAAAGAAAGAAAAGTAGAGAGAGTGTGTTGAAGAGGTGTTGCTTTGCATTTGTTGGGACATCTTGCCACCTGGGATGGAAAGTAGGTGTTGGGCATGGAGATATCACAAGGCAGCAAGACAAGCTTCCGAGGAACTCTTGAGTCAGGTCTCTCGGTGTGGCTCCAATATTTGGTGTACAGCCTTAAGAATTTTCAGAACAGCAAGTACATTTACATAAAAGTCTAAGTATAAAACATATTCCGAACCCAAGTAAAACACTTGGATTATCTCTTATTTATGACTATTCATCCCATTGCTCTCTTTAAGTTATAGGATGAATGGGATCATTGTTTTATACAGATTTACTGGGTTTTGTTTTTTTTTTAAATCTAGTGTGTCATTCTCCCTTTTTAAAATTATAAAATATTCCAAATACATAATCCAAAATATAATGTAGCAGAGATGTGACTACCACACAAATTTAACAGATATTAACACAACTTTAAGGTTCAGGACTATTTAGACCTATGCAGTTGAATACAGCAGCCACTAGCCACATGGAGCTATTGAGCACTTGAAATGGGGCTAGTCTGAATTAAGATGTGATGTAAGTGCAAAATTGACACTGGATTTCAAAGACTTAGTATGAAGAAAAAAGTTAAATGTCTCGTTAATAATTTTTAATATGATTATATGTTGAAATAATATTTTTGTACATTGAGTTAAATAAAATATATTAAAATTAATTTCATCTGCTTTTTTAACTTTTTTAATGTGACTACCAGAAAATTCTAAAGTAGGTATATGGCTCACATTGTATTTCCATTGGACAGCAGTTTAGATTATTGGAGGCTGAGAGAGGGGGCATATCTACATATTGTTCAGAAACTGCTTCGAGTGTAGGATTAAGGTCAGGTAGAACCCTTTGGACCAATCCTGTCTCATGGTGCCCTGAAATTTTCATCTTCATAGCTATAAAAATAATAAAATTATTTTCAATCCCAGACCCCAAAACATACAATTTAAGTTTTGAGAATTTTCATGATTATGTAATTTTTTAAAGAGACAAGGAACAGGATTTGAAGCAATGTGAGAATTAGGAGGAAAGAGAAAGGCCCCTGGATATTGATTAGTACGGGCAGATCTGTATTTCCCGTCTATCCAAGACCTACTGGACTGCTAAGTATTTCCCCCTCAAAACCATTCTAAATCCAGTCAATCCACAGCTTTAATCAAAATTTGAATGTGAACATTCCTTTAACCACATTTAAAGGAATGGGCAAACCTTCTCCACAACACCCTACCTAATGGGCAGAGGAATGTGGGTCCTGAGGAGACAAGGAGCCTGGGTTGCCACCACCCTGCTGAGGGAGTTCCCCTTGCCCCCTACCCCCCGGGCTTATATATAGATTATAAATATGTAAAGGAGAGAGGGGTGGGTGGTCCCTGCTCCCCTATCCCTGGGGCCATTCATTAAAAAAGAATAATAAAAGGATTAAAGATAAGCAAGGAATAGTCAAAAACGCATTTGTATAATAGCTTATTTCAGTTTGCACATTTAATCCATTGATTCCTGCTGTGGACTGAACGTCCTCCCAAACTCAATGAAGCTTAATCCCCACTGTAACTGTGGGTGGGAAATCCTATTATGATAACTGAAAGGTGGGGCCTTGAAGAGGTGATTAGATTGTGAGGACCATGCCTAGTGAATGCATTAATCAACCTGATGGTTTAATGGTGGTCGTGGGTATGGTTCTGGTGGCTTTGAAAGGAGAGTGTGTGAGAGGTTCTCTCTTTCTCTGCTTCTGCCACGTGATACCCCTGCTTTGCTGTGAAGAGTCATTACCCACCAACAAGGCTCTCACCAAATGTGTTCCCTGGACTTTGGACTTCCTAGTCTCTGAAACATAAGCAATAAATATTGTTTCTTTATAAATTACCCAGTTTCAGGGGCTGGCCAGTTAACTCAGTTGGTTAGAGTGCAGTGTTACAACACCAAGGTCAAGGGTTCAGACGCCCATATAGGCTAGCCATCAAAAATAAATAAATAAATAAGTAAATAACCCAGTTTCAGGTATTTCTGTTATAAGCAACAGAAACAGACTAATACAATTCCTAACACTGGCCTCAGTGTTACCTTAATGTGCCACTGTAGCTTTTCTTGTCCATTCGTAGTACTAATCAGAGTAAGAGCTGTCTGAAGAGGTGGTTTTATTTTTTTTTTAAAGTTAATTTAACAAATATTCACTGAGAATATATTACAACAACAGAAAATTCTTATTATTAAAATAGTTTTTCTGGGTCTTCTTTACATTGGCTAAAGTCACTTTGTTAATATTAGTACTTGCTTATAAGGATATCTTTCAATAGCATAATTGTGTTTACAACTGCAATATTCAATACTCAAAACAGTTAACTCAGATGTTGGTTTCTACATTTATAAATAGACTCAGATTAAATAACCACTTGAATAAAATATTCACATCCTTTTAAAGGCACTGAAGGAGAAAAATACTACCTTTAAAGGATATTTCTTTTTTAAAAAGTAATAACAACTATACTTTTTTTGAAGTTGTTACAACAAGCAAACGGAAAGGACATTCTTGGGGGGGAGGGGAGAAAGGGAGGAGGGCGGGAGGTGTCGGTGATGGGCCATAATAATCATATACATTGTATATTGACAAAATAAAAATTTAAAAAAAAAATAAAATAAATAAAATAAAATAAAAAAGTAACTAGTTTTTAAATGGAATAACAACTCATTCTTTTAATTGAAACAAAAATTTAAAAAGTAAAAAGGGATAGAACAATGAAAATAAATTTTCCCTCTTCCCCAGACCTCAGTCCCCTAATCCCTGTCTCCAGAAACAGCCACTGTTAAGATTGTCTTGAGAATCTTTCCCAAAAATATTCTATGCATTTGCAAGCATACAAAAATTAATATAACCAAACATGAATATGCAAATGCATGTATAAATATACAATCCCTTAAACAAAATGTGGCATATCCATACAAAGTACATGTATTATTGCTCAACTCAAAATAGGAATGAAGTATCAGTACATGCTACAACATGGTTGAACCCTGAAAACATGCCAAGTGAAAGAAGCCAGACACGATAGACCACATACAAGTATATTGCACAATTCTATTTATATGAAATGTTCAAATTCGGTAAATCTGTAGGGAAAGAAGGTAAATTAGTGGTTGTCAGGGGCTGGGGGAGAGGAGAAAGAAGAGTGACTGCTAATGAATACAGGATTTTGTTGTGGGGTAATAAAATTATTGGGGAATTAGATAGTGGTGATGGTTGCACAACATTTTGAATATAGTAAGAACCACTGAATTGGACTTCAAAATCATTAAAATCATCAGTTTTATGCTATATAAATTTTGTCTCAATTTAAAAATATATATATATTATCCTTAATTTTTTTTACAAATGGGAACACACCATACACTTTATTGAACCTTTTATTCTTCTATTAACAACATAATTTTTTTATTTTTATAAAGTCAAAATTATCAATCTTTTCTATTATGGCTCCTTGGACTGATGTTGTATCTTTTATTTCCTTGAACATATTAAGCATATTTAAACTCTGAGTCTGATAATCCCATTAACTAAATACCCTACAGGTCTGTTTCCATTGCTTGTTGTTTACTTCAGTTTTCTTTCATGCATCTTGCAACCTCCTATGCCTGGTTATATTTATATTGAGCTCTGGAAATTGTATATGAAAAACTGGAGAAATAATTTCAGGCCTATTTTCTTCCAAAGAGGATTTAAATTTGCTGTTGGCAGGTGGCTAGGAGCACTAGCTATCTAGGGTGATCTCAATTTAATTTCAGGAATAAGATGATTCAAAGCTGTCTACTGCCAGTACACTGCACAGCCAATCTACTTCCAGTTCACTATTACTCTTAGGGTATGCCCTTTTAGGGTCTTGACCTGAGAATGATGATTTTGGTGTGATGTCTGAGAAAACTGTAGAGCAGGTAGCTCCAAGATCCCATCCCTCCACAGAAACATTGAAAAATCAAGCAAAAAAATTGTCAGGATAAACTTTATCAGAACTCTGGAAAATATTCAAAGTTTACAGCTACCAAACACTGAATCAAGAAAAAGGAAACTTAACAATGGCTCAGCACTAGGAGGAAGTAAAGACTAAGATTTGTAAATGGCCTGGCTAAGTAGTGAAGGAATGCCCCAGTACAGAGCCAATCTGTAAAGACTGAGAGAAATTTGTCTCTTTTTTTTCTTTCGTTTCTTTTTAATGGCTCCTGGTTGCTCAAGGAAATCTCTGTCAAAACATTAACTGAATACAAGTTAAAGAAACAGAGACTTCAGAGACCACATACACAACTAGACCTAACAGACATCTATAAAACACTCTACCCAACAGCAGGCTACACATTTTTCTCAAGTACACATGGAACATACTCCAGGACAAACCAGATGTTAGGCCACAAAATAAGCCTCAATAACTTTTAAAAGATTGAAATCATGCAAAATATCTTCTCTGACCACAATGGAATGAAACTATAAAGCAGTAACAGAAGCATAACTGGAAAATTCATGAAAATGTGGAAATTACACAACATACTTTTAAAAAACCAATGGGTAAAAAAAAAAAAAAAAAATCACAAGACAAATTAGAAAATATTTTGAGATGAATAAAAACAAAAATACAACATACCAAAACTTATGGGATACAGCAAAAGCAGTGCTCACAGACAAATTTATAGCTATAAATGCCTGCATTAAAAAAGAAGGATCTCAAATCAATAATCTAACACTTTAACACATTAAATTAACACTTTAATGAGCTAGAAAAAGAAGAGCAAACTAAACCCAAAACTAGCAGAAGAAAGAAAATAAGGATTAGAGTGGAGATAAATGAAATAGAGAACAGAAAAAAGAAAAGAGAATCAACAAGACAAACATGTCCACTTTCACCACTACTTATCAATATTGTACTGTAAGATTCAGCCAGAACAATTAGTCAAGAAAAAGAAATAAAAGCATCCAAATTAGAAAGGAGGAAGTAAAACTATCTCTATTCACAGATTACATATTACTATATGTAGAATATCCCAAAGAATACACACACACACACACACACACACACGCAAACTACCAGAGCCAATAAGTACATTCAGCAAAGTTGCAGAGCACAAGATCAACACATAATTAATTAATAATTCAATAAAGGAATTAAGAAAGCAATTCCTTTTACAGTATCAACCAAAAGAATAAATACCTAAGAATAAATTTAACCAAGATGGTGAAAGACTCATCCACTGAAAACTACAAAACATTGCTGAAAGAAATTAAAGAAGACATAAATAAATGGAAAGACATCTTGTGTTCATGGACTGGAAGACTTAATATTGTCAAGGTGGCAATACTACGCAAAGCAAGCTAAAGATTCAATGCAATCCCTATCAAAATCCCAACAGACTTTTTTGCAGAAATGGAAAATTTGATCCTCAAATTCATTGCAGGGGGCCACAAATAGCAAAAACAATATTGAAAAAGAAGAACAAAGTTGAAGAACTTACATTTCCCTATTTCAAAACTTACTACAAAGCTACAGTAATCAAGATAGTGTGATACTGGCATAAAGATAGACACATAAAACAATGGAAGAGAATTGAGAGTACAGAAAAAGAAAAAAACATACATCTACTGCCTGTTGATTTTTGACAAGAGTGCCAAGACCACTCAATGGGGAAAGAACAGTCTCTTCAACAAACGATTCTGGGACAACTATGCAAACAATGAAGCTGAACCCTACCCCATACCATAGATAGACATTAACTCAAAATGGTCATAGACCTAAATGTAAGAGCTAAAACCATAAAAATTTTAGAAGAAAATATAGGGGTAAACCTTCATGATCATGGATTTGGCAATGAATTCTTAGATATGACACCAAAAGCACAAGCAACCAAAGAGAAGAAATGGATAAATTGGACTTCATCAAAATTAAAAACTTTTGTGCATCAACACATATTATCAAGAAAGTGAAAAGACAACCTACAGGAGAAAATATTTCCAAATCATATATCTGATAAGGATCTTACCTCCAGAAAGAACTCTTATTAACTCAATAGTAAAAAGATAAATAACCTGATTTTAAAATGGGCAAAGGATCTGCATATACATTTCTGCAAAGAAAGTATACAAATAGCCAATAAATACATGAAAAGATGCTAAACATCATTAGTCACAAGGGAAATGCAAATCAAAACCACAATGAGATACCACTTCACACACACAGGATAGCTATAATAAAAATAAAAATAAAAACAAAATAACAAGTGTTGGCAAAAATGTGGAGAAATGGAACCCTCATATATTGCTGGTAGGAATGTAAAATAGTGCAGCCACTATGGAAAACAGTTTAGCAGTTACTGGAAAAGTTAAACATAGAGATATCATATGGCCTAGTAGAATACTCCTAGTAGAATACCCAAGAGAACTGGGAACATATGTTCATATAAAAATTTGTACATGAATGTTCTTAGCAGTACTGTTCATAATAGCCAAAAGGTGAAAACAATCCAAATGTCCATCCACTGATAAACGAATAAACAAAATGTGGTATACAATGGCATATTATCCAGCCATAAAAAGAAATGAAGTAATGATAGATGTTATGACATGGATGAACCTTAAAAACACTATCTTAAGTGAAAGAAGCCAGACACAAAAGGCCACATATTCATTTATATGAAATATCCAGAATAGGCAGATCCATAGAGACAAAAGTAGAATAGTGGTTGCCAGAGGTGGGGAGGGAGGGAATGGTAATGGGTATGGCCTTTCTTTTCAGGGTGATGGAAATGTTCTGGAATTAGATAATGGTGATGGTTGCACAATCTTGTGAATGTACTAAAAATCACTGAATTATATACTTCAAAATGGTGAATTTCATGGTATGTGAATTATGCCTCAGAAAAAAGGAAAGGAAACGCTGTAAGCCTATCAAGAGGAGCTTGCTGTGCATCTGAGGAGACTTCTATTTAATGGGTAGCAGAGGGTAGCTCTCAGTTAATGTGAAACATTTTCCCAAGGAAATACATTTCTGCTGTACTATTTCCATTCATTCATTCAACAGGCAGTCATGGAATACCACAGTCATTGAATACCTGTTATGTACAAGAATCAGGTTAGCATCTGCTTTCACTTGCCTGGTGTTGCTTGAAGGCGTCAATAAGTAAATCAATATCAGTAAAGGTGAGAGGAAATTGGAGCCGAGGGCCATCATAGGAATCTGGGACATCTATCAATGCCACGTAGTCCTGTCTATCCTTGATATCCTGGAGGGTGCTTTCAAAAAGTCGCCTTATTATTTCTGGAAAATAAAAGGCACAATTGAGGGGGGTAGAGCAGACAGGGCAGGAATCAACATTCTAATACTTAAATAAATATCTCCTTAAATACCTAGCCATGTAAGGCACTGTGCTAAAGGTCATAAATACCAATATAACCCACATATAACCATGAGGAATAACTGATTCTGAGATCAGTAGGTACAGTCACATGGGTCACCATATCCCTTCCTGGGTAGACATTTTACCACAACAGGAGTCCATAAGCAGTGGGGAGGGGAGGGAGAGTCACAGGGAAAACTGATCGATCAAGGTATTTTGACGCTCAAAGCTCCAGCTCTGAATTTTTTGCCCATTCTTACATCTCGGATTTTTATTAATAAGGTTGAAAACATAACAATGCATTGTATTTGATTCAAACATCTGCTGCTATTCAGGATCTACAGAAAATTAAACTGCAACATTCAATTTTTCCCCTGTTAAACACTTCGGAGGATTTTTACTTAGCTGTAATTTATTTGTTTCTCTCTTTACATAAAAATTAATTTTCTGACATGATTTTCTTTTTTTCTTGGTAAGAAAGCAGATAAAGTTAAATGACAAACAGTAGGCAGAAATACCCAAAGAGCCTCTCTCTCTCTCTCAGAGACATTTCTATATAACAGATTGCCTGCATTGCCCATTTTAGTAGATGTTGATACCCAGGGTCTCTTCTTGCTAGACTGCCCATGAAACAGTCATCCCAAGAACAGAAATCCAGACAATTCAGGTGAAGAAAATGAAAGGGGATGTAGTAGATTGACTGCCAAAGTGACTCCAATTCTATATCCCAACTTCAATCCATGCTCTTCTTTTTTTTTTTTTTTGTCTTTTGTCTTTTTTCCGTGTCCGGCAACGGATTGCAACCC